TTCCCTTTTATTTAACAAATCTTACGTGACCAGAAAAAACAAGCGCGCGCGGAAAAATAGTCTTTGCATTTGCTCACGTCAGCAGCGTACACCCATGGGCAAATGGGGAACGCTAAATTGACCAATCAGAGCGCGCGCTTTACTTTGGTTATGTTATAATATCAGTTGTAATACAAACACTTGCAGGATTCTTCAACTCTTCATCTGCACTTCCGCCTTTTTTCCAAAGCTTCTCACAAACTTCCCTGTTTGTACATTCAACTGCTGTATTCGGTGATTACCTAAATCTGCCACCAGAACCTCGTCATCGTTTATGAATGTGACGTCGATTGGTTGATTAAATTGCCCATCCTTGTCTCCATGACAACCAAGTTTTCGTCTTAAATTTCCTGCCTCATCAAATACCAGGATACAGTGACCTTTACACCCAGCCACAGTCATAACACCTTTACTGTTTACTGCAATCCCGGCTGGACCCTGGGACACTTTTCCCTGAAAGTCTACCTTGCCAACAAAGTGTAACTGTCGTGCTTTAACTGGAATCAAAAATGGACTCTTGGCAAGTTTCTGTCCATTTATCTTAACATCCATTTCATAAGTACCAGGTAGTTTCGCTACAAATTTTACTCTAAACTCATAGTCTTCTTTTTCACTTGTCAGCAAATTGCTCACCCGATACGCAGGTTCTATGTGTACTTCAACACGATCTGTGTGCTGACTGTTTCTGGTTTCTCCTTCGCTTGATTTGGGACAAATCAATAGTTCTGCCTCTACACCAGCTTGGAAATTCTGATCCCGTACTTGCACGGTCGATCCTTGTATATCTGTTTCGCAGAATTTCGTAAATCCAAGACTCAAACTCTCTGGTTGACATGTCGACACAAACTCCACTAAAGAGCTAACCGGAAGTGCTGGCATTGTGGTCTTAATGAGGTCTTCTATTCGTTCTTCCATATTCTTCTTGTTTTGCATTATGTCTGAGCTCGAGCTTCTCTCCACTAGATTGTTACTGAACTCAAATGCTTGGTCAAGTTGCTTTTCTAAAGAGACAACCCATACTTTTCCAGAAAGCAATTTCTCAATCCTCGACACGCGAGACTTCTCGAAGGCAGTAATGAATTCACTTTCCAACTGGCGAAGCTTACTTATCATCTGTTCGACTACTTGGGAAACTTGGAGTTTAGCGGTGGTAATGTTGGCTTCCAACTCAAGTTCTGTCTTCTCAAATTCACGAATAATATCTCCACAGACCTCTTTCTTCCGCTTAATAAGCTCGGCTCTGATGATGATGTTTGCTTTTTCATTATGCGCCGCCTTTTCAAGCGGAATAACATCATGGCTTTTGTGATCTGTGGCGATGCATATTTGACAAACACAGCATTGACAATCCACGCAGAAAAACTTTGTTACTTCTTTCTCGTGATACTTAACGGAGCAAAATGATTGCCTTTTCAACAGGGCCTCGTAGTCTGCCGCTTCAAACTGTCGCACTGGTGTGAATTTGTGCCCCTCAAACATAGTATCTCGAAACACTTCGTGTGCTTTCACACAGTCGGGGCACATAAACTTCTCGCATTCAAAACAGTAGTTGATCTCAGCGCTCTTCCTCTGGCATGTACTACAGCTGATCTCATTTCCTTCGTCACTGCGTCGAACGGCCAGAAGACTCAACAAACTGTTGTGCGGAAAACTGCTTGGCAGATTATCAAAACGCTTTCCTTCGGGGATACGAATTTCTGCCTGACACTCGGGGCATGGATAAAGCCCTTGTTTTTGTCTCGTTAGAGCATGTCTCTCCAGGCATTCACAGCAGAACGTATGAAGACAGGCAATAGTCTTGGGTTTGGTGTAAGTATCCAGGCAAATCGAACATGTTACATGTTCTTCGAGGTTTTTAAGAAGCGATTCCATCACGAACTGAAGACAAAAACACAATTCCACGCATTGTTTGTTTCGAGAAACTGAAATTGAAATTAACGTTTATATTTAATCGGTGAATCACATGTCTTTAGGATCACGCGATCTTCCCGCGGAGTTTGACAGCTTTGCATTGATGATTTACCACTCTATTGTCTGATTTCTGTGTCTTTCAGTTTTTTAATTCTATGAATTTCATAGTACGACCGAATTTTTTGCTCTCGCTACATGTTCTTTAGAGTTTTTTAGACGCGAATCCATCGCGAAATATCGACTAAACCACACCCGTGTATCGTGTTTGTGGATTCCGAGAAACTGAAATAAGGCTAACAATTAAAAGCAGCCAAGTACATCTCTTCAGAAGAGATTTCGTTTTCTAGCTGTATGTGATAGCTTCAGTTTCTAAGGAGGTGTAAGAGAGTAATTATAAACAGATGTATAGTTTTTATATGCTTTTACGATAGGAATATACGAGTGATAAACGAAAAGTTCAAATCTGCTCTCTTGTGAGAACAGAAACTAGCCCTCGAAAGATTGTAACCTACTCTAGTTCGTTTGCGTATCGCATTTGGTGTGAACGTGAAGAAATCGCATTTGGTGTGAGTCTCGGAGAAACTGCGCACCCACCCCTCTTGGAT